AAAAAAAAAAAAAAGAAAAAATTCAGTGACAGGAGCTCATAATATGAGAATTATGAGAAATAAGGATAGCAGGGTGGGCAGGGAACATATTTGGAGGATTTCATAAGACAGGGTATTTGCACATTATAACCATATATAACAGCAACAGGAATCCACTAAAGGATTTTTTTGGGGAGAACCTAGGGTCTTGCCCCGTTGCCCAGGTTGGAGGGCAGTGGTGTGATCATCATTTACTGCAGCCTTGAATTCCTGGGCTTGAGCAATCCTCCCACCTCAGCTTTGTGAGTAGCAGGGATTACAGGTCCATGCCACTGCACTGTGCCAACTTTTAAATATTTTTAGAGATAGGATCTCGCTATATTGGCCAGGTTGGTCTTGAACTCCTGGCCTCAAGTGATCTTCCCATCTAGCCCTCTCAAAATTCTGGGATTACAAGTGTGACCACCAAGTCTGGCTCACTGAAGGATTTTTTGAGTGGGGAAATGGCCTTGGCTTTTAGTATGATCACTTTGGCTGTTCTTTTGAGAATGAACTGGAAGAGAGTAAGACCACAGATTAGGATAGTGATAAGCAGCTGCAAAAATCCAGGTAACAGTGTGTGGTGGCTCACAATATGGTGGCAGTAGCACAGATAGAGAATAGGAGGATGATTAAAAGAGATATATACGTGGTAGAAAGGATAGAATTTGGTGGTTGATTTGGATTTAGAAAGAGATGAGAGGAGTCAAAAATTACTTTAGAGACAAACATGATGACATGCTTCTGTAGTCCTACCTACTCAGGAGGCTGAGGCAAGCTATCACTTGAGCCCAGGAGTTTGAGGCCAGCCTGGGCAGCACAGTGAGACCCTGTCTCTAAAAAATAAAATTGGCTAGGCGTGGTGGGTCACGCCTGTAATCCCAGCACTTTGGGAGACCAAGGTGGGTGAATCACGATGTCGGGAGATGGAGACCATCCTGGCTAACATGGTGAAACCCTGTCTCTACTAAAAAAAAAAAATACAAAAATTGGCTGAGTGCGATGGCTCACACCTGTAATCCCAGCACTTTGGGAGGCTGGGGTGGGTGGATCACAAGGTCAGGAGATCGAGACCAGCCTGACCAACATGATGAAACCCCGTCTCTACTAAAAATACAAACATTAGCCAGGTGTGGTGGCACACGCCTTTAGTTCCAGGTACTTGGGAGGCTGAGGCAGGAGAATAGCTTGAACCCGAGAGGCAGAGGTTCTCAGTGAGCCGAGATTGCATGCCACTGTACTCCAGCCTGGGCGACAGAGCGAGACTCCATCTCAACAAACAAACAAACAAAAACAGAAACTGGCCATGTATGGTGGCGGGCACTTGCAATCCCAGCTACTCAGGAGGCTGAGGCAGGAGAATCACTTGAATCTGAGAGGTAGAAGGTACAGTGAGCCAAGATCATACCACTGCACTTCCAGCCTGGGCAATAGAGCAAAACTCAGTCTTAAAAAAAAAAAAAAAAAAAGCCTTGTTAGTTTCTGGCTTGCAAAAATGTGTAGAGTGTAGCACCATTTACTGAGACAGGAAATGTAGAAACAGATTTGAGAGGAAACGAGTTTAGTTTAATGTGCCTACAAGACATAGTAGAGGCTGTTGGATATAGAGGATATAGAATTCAGGAAAAAAAGTTTGAATGTGAGAATCATAAAGGGCAGAAATAAAATTCAGATATGAGGAATTTTAACTATAGGTCATATACAAGCAAAAATTGATTGAACCAGCATATATCATTGCTTAAGATGAGCAAGGCTGTAAGAGGGGCAAAGTTTTTTTTTTTTTTTTTAATTTTTGAGAAAGAGTCTCCAGCCTTGATCTCCCAGCCTCAAACAGTCCTTCCTCCTCAGCTTCCTGAGTAGCTGGGACTATAGGTGTGTGCCACCATACCCAGTTAATTTTTTTTTTTAGAAATGAGGTCTCACTATGTTGCCCAGTCTGGACACAAAGACTTTTTGGCAAGTTGCAGCACCTGTCCTCAAGGAAAGTGCAGTGCAGTTAGGGAGATAAATATCTGTTCAATTAACTACAATACAGGGCATAGTATGTAAACATTAGAAGAGAGGTACTCCAACCTGGGCAACAGAGTGAGACCCTGTCTCAAAAAAAAAAAAAGGTCCTAGGTGTCAGACAAATGAATTCAGCATTTATTAAACAACTACGGGATATAAGTCATCTTCCCCTTCCCATGCAGCTCAGTTCAGTTACTCCCTCCACAGATACTTGCTAAGTATTTAAAAGGATAGAGAACTTGAGGTGAAATGGCTGGTTGCACAGAAAGTAGATGTGACTCCTAATTTTCAAGAGCTAACTGTTTGGTGTGGAACTGGTAGTGTGCTTCAAAACAGCTCTCCAGAAAAACAGAATACTCTGATTTGTAGTGTTTGTCAATTTCTGGTCTGTTTACGCCCAGCATCCCTGATTTTAAGCTGTCAACTAAGTATCACTAAACTCAGAGTTGAAAACAGATATGTATGCACAATTGGTTTTCAGGAGCTGGTAGAGCTTGCTGCAGAACACCATAGGATGAATCACACGTACTAAGAAAACCTATACTGGCAAGTGACTATTGAGGCATTTCTAGAAGCATTAGAACCTGTGTTAGCCACTTCTCACACTTCCCATCCTTTTCAGAGGCCCATAATCTTTCGATTGCTCTTAAAATTGCTAGTCAGTATTTTGGCATTCCTTTCATATGGTTGACATCTTTTCAAACCAGATTAAGTTACTGGTGCTTCTTGTTCCTGACAGCAGCCCCAGCTATCTGACTTCATGTGAAAAATGGCTAATGCAGAAGTGAGTGTCCCAGTGGGGGATGTGGTTGTAGTACCCACTGAAGGAAATGAAGGGGAGAACCCTGAAGACACTAAAACTCAAGTGATCTTGCAGTTACAGCCTGTGCAACAAGGGTAAGTGGCCAGAGATTTAGATATTCTGAAATATTTTGGGAAGTTTCAAGGGTGGGGAAAATAAAACTTTATGGTTGCTTAGTACAGTGGAATATTTAACGTCAATCAGAGCTGGCTCAGTTTTCATCTGTATTATGTTCATACTGTATTATGTGCTGTATTTGTCATTTTAATACTTATTACAGCAGTTACTTGTTGCCTTGTATCTGCTTCTCTTCACCTTGAGCTCCTTGAGGGTAAGTTACATGACTCCCTCATCTTATTTTATTATTATTATTTTTGTTCAGACAGAGTCTTACTCTGTCACCCAGGCTGGAATACAGTGGTAGTGATGCAATCATAGCTTACTGCAACCTCTAATTACTGGGTTCAAAAGATCCTCCTGTTTTAGCCTCCAGAATAGCTGGGAATATAGGCACATGCCACTGCGCCTGGCTGATTTTTCTTTCTTTCTTTCTTTCTTTTTTTTTTAAGATGGGGTTTCCCCATGATGGCCAGGCTGGTCTTGAACTCCTTACCTCAGGTGATCCCACCCACCTCGGCCTCCCAAAGTGTTAGGATTACAGGTGTGAGCCACCGCGCCCAGACGATTTTTCTGTTTTTTGTAGAGATAGGGGTCTTGCTTTGTTGCCCAGGTTGACTGATCTTACTTATCTATACTATTTACAGGGCTTCCTTATGTGTTTACCAAAAGACAGTGTAGCTAGAGTCAGAGAACATCAGCTAAGGCAACGACAAAAGTGTTCATGCCATAAATTCTCTGAACCCTTATGGAGGGCAGGGCAAATTATCAAGTTGAGTCTAGCACCTACTACAATACAATGTATTATGAAGGTGTTGGAAAAAGATAAAATTTAAAAAGGAGTCCTTTTTTTTCTTTTTTTTTAAGACAGAGTCCCGCTCTTATTGCCCAGGCTGGAATGCAATGGCGTGATCTTGGCTCACTGCAACCTCTGCCTTCCTGGGTTCAAGCGATTCTCCTACGTCACCCGAGTAACTGGGATTACAGGCGCCCACCACCATGCCTGGCTATTTTTTTTTTTTTTTCGTATTTTTAGTAGATATGGGGTTTCACCATGTATGCCAGGCTGGACTTAAACTTCTGACCTCATGATTGGCCCCACCTCGGCTTCCCAAAGTGCTGCAATTACAGGTGTGAGCCACTGTGCCCGGCCGAGTCCTTCTTTTCGTTTGTTTAGTTTTTGAGACAGAATCCCACTGTATTGCCCAGGTTAGAGTGTAGTGACATTATTCATACATAAGAATGTATTCTGTTTTTTTTTTTTTTTGAGACAGAGTTTCACTGTTGTTACCCAGGCTGGAGTGCAATGGCGCGATCTCGGCTGACCGCAACCTCCGCCTCCTGGGTTCAGGCAATTCTCCTGCCTCAGCCTCCTGAGTAGCTGGGATTACAGGCACACGCCACCATGCCCAGCTGATTTTTTGTATTTTTAGTAGAGACGGGGTTTCACCATGTTGACCAGGATAGTCTCGATCTCTTGACTTCGTGATCCACCCGCCTCGGCCTCCCAAAGTGCTGGGATTACAGGCTTGAGCCCCCGAGCCCGGCTGTATTTTTTTTTTTTTTCTGAGACGGAGTCTTGCTCTATCACCCAGGCTGCAGTGCAGTGGCTCAACTAGCCTTATTGTAACCTCTGCCTCCCAGGTTCAAGTGATTTTCCTGCCTCAGCCTCCAGAATAGCTGGGATTACAGGCGCGTGCTACCACACCAGCTAATTTTTGTATTTTTAGTAGAGACGGAATTTCACCATGTTGGTCAGACTGGTCTTGAACACCTGACCTCGTGGTCCACCCGCCTTAGCCTCCCAAAGTGCTGGGATTACAGGTGTGAGCCACTGTGTCTGGCCAAGGATGTATTATTTTAAGAGATTTTTCACATAATGGTCAGTTTAGGATGAGTTTAACAATCTTATTTGAAGGAGTGTTTCTCATGTTTATCACAATCCTCATTCCCTGAATAGCCATTTATTGGGTGCTTTGCCATGTTCCAGTCAATAAACTACATGGTGGGCATACAAAATTGAATAAATGAGTAAAACATAATCTGTGCTGTTGGGGACCTCTTAGCCTGTGCTCACGGGGAGACAGACAGATAAACAATCATTTATTATCAGTGATAGGTATTATGACAAAACCCAAAGTACATCTGGGTCACAAAGGAGGAAGTAAGTGATTATACTGAAGGGACTGGGAGGGACAGAAAAGCATCCTAGAGGCTACTTATTAAAAGACAGATAGGAGACAGGTTCAGTGGCTCATGCTTGTAATCCCAACATTTTGGGAGGCAGAGGCAGGAGGATCAGCTGAGTCCACGAGTTCAAGACCAGCCTGGGTCACATAGGAATACTGACCCTGTCTCTATAAAAAAAAATACAAAGATTGGCTGGGTGCATGGCTCACGCCTGTAATCGCAGCACTTTGGGAGGCTGAGGTGGGCGGATGACGATGTCAAGATCGAGACCATCCTGGCCAACATGGTGAAACCCCATCTCTACTAAAAACAAAAATTAGCTGGGCGTGGTGGCATCCGCCTGTAGTCCCAGCTACTAGGAAAGCTGAGGCAGGAGAATTACTTGAACCCAGGAAGCGGAGATTGCAGTGAGTTGAGATTGCGCCACTATACTCCAGCCTGGCGCCTGGCAACAGAACAAGACTCTGTCTCAAA